GGGAAGGGCTCCAAGAATCATCAGTAGAGAGACCAAAATGTCCTACAACTTTAGCAATGGTAGTACATGTCTCCTGCTTTGGACTTAATTAGTTTTTGTTCTAGTTCCAGCTAGTAATCTAAAATTCAACAGAGTAGGCAAAAGGGTTTTATTAATTGACTACTCCTGAGGTTGAATTGTTGGGATCAATTAATTTAACATAAACAGGGCAGTGATCTAAGCTCTGAAGATGATAAGAAGTTGACTGAGGAATTTGCTAATCTCAGTAAATTTTTTATGGTTTCTACTGAGGTCCTAAAGCTGCATTATCTTGAAATGTGAAGTGCATGTTGTTTAAGAGCACACAGGCTTTGGAGTAGGAACATCTTAGTATAGATTCTAACTCCTCTGCTTCCTAGCTGTGTAACCTCACTTTCCTCAACTGTAAATTGGAAATAACAATACCTATCTCAAAAGAGTTGTGAGAATTAAATGAATTTATCCATGTAAAGGTCTTAACATTGTATGTGGAACACAGTAGTTGCCCAGTATATATTGTATGTATTAATAAAAACTAATAAATCTTTTTGTAGAGAAAAGAATTGAACGTACTGTAGTGAAAGATAAATCTAGTAAGTGCTTTAAGGGAGATACAGAAAGTCAAAGGAACATTGAGAAAGGCTTTCTACTGACTGGGAATTGGGAGGAAATTTCATATGGAAAATGACAATTGAGGGCTGGCTGGTTAGCTCAGTTGGTTAGAGCATTGTAGTGATAATACCAGGGTCCAGGGTTTGATCCCTGTACTGGCCAGCCGCCAAAAATAAAAAGAGAAGATGACGACAATTGAACTGAATTTTGAAGGTAGAGTGGAATTTGTAGCAGTTACGCTTGGTACAGAAGACATTCTAACTGGAGGTGGGGGAGCTGAGTTTAGGCAGGAAAGCTTAGTGATTTTAGAGAATAGTGAGTCATCCTAGAGAAAATACATTGAAAAAGATTTGGGTTTTAATACTCAGAGATATTTTTGATATCATTTTGTATGTTCTTGAGAGCCATTAGCAACTTTGAGCTGTGATTTAAGAAGACCCATTCTGTGACAATGGGTTAGATTAGGGAGAGTTTGGAAGAAGGAAGAAGACCTACTAGGAAGATTTTGCAATAGCCTAGGCAGAAGAAAATAGGTTACAAAAACATAGCAACAATAGAATCAAAACTGCCCATGAATTAACTAGTAAGAGATGATAAATGAAGAAAGAATTAAAAGGTGATTGTGAGATTAAAAATTTAGATGATTGGGACAATAGCAGTATCATTTGCAAACAATGAAAATGAACAAGTTGTAAAAAAAGATTATACTATGGTTTTGAACATATTGAGTTTTAATTTTTTATGGCAGGAAGGACAGCCAGCTGGAAATGTCAACTTAAGACAGTTTGAACTATAAATGTGTATTTGGGAATCATCTGCATGGAAGTGATAGTTGGAATCCTGGGAGTGAATCAGCTAGTGTGGAGAGACAAAACTATTTAGAGCAATACCTAGAGGAATATGTGGCTGTATCAGGGGAAGAAGGGGAGACAGGAGAAGAGAAACTATAGCTGCAGGGATAGAGCCAAAAAAATGGAATTGAAATTTCTCACCGCTATTATTAAAACACAGGAGACTGAGTAGGTTTTCTGGAAGAGATGCTATTTGCTATTGTTAGAAAGAAAAACTATGTGGCCTTATTATCTTTAACGTGTAATCTGCTATGTTAGCAAAAATCATGCATTAAAATTAACTATATTTGAAAGTTCGGTTCTACCCTTTATAGACAGATTTTGGTGACTTCCTTCCTCTGGAAAGCAATAAAGCACAGAGTCATTCAGAGCTTTTTTCACAAAACCCATGGATATAGATACATTGCCAAGCATTGAAAGTGCCCTATGTTGCACATAGAATATCAAGTATCAAGATTATTTTCTAGTTCAAGCTCTATTTGCAAAAAAAAAACCCAAAACCAAACCAAAACAAACAAATCTTTTCACTATCTTGAAGAAATTCATGGCCTGTGCAATTAGGAATTCAGTGCTGATAATGCATTGGTGGTAGTAATAATAATTGTACTTAACGTTTACTGAATGGTACTATTTGCCATACACTGTGCAAATTTCACATGCATTTATTCATTTAACAGTATTTACTGAATGCCTACTATGTACCAGGAACTGTTCTAGGCCCTTGGGATAGGTTAATAAAAAATAAAACAAAATCTCTGCTCTCGTGGACCTTTTATTTAGTGAGGGAAGACAGATAATAACTAATAAGTATAATAAAGTGTATGGATCGTAAGAAGATGATAAGTACAATGGAAAAAATAGAGCAAGGTAAGAGGAGTTAGGAGTGGCAGGTGGGGGTTGGGTGATGGATATGGGTTGCATTATTAGTAGGGTGGTTAGGAGTTACATTGGAGTTAACCATGCAGATATCTAAGTGGAGAGCACCAGGCAAATGGAACAATCTGTGCAAAGGCCCTAAGGTGGAAACCTGTCTGGGGTATCGAAAAAACAATAAAGAAATCAATATGGTTCACAGTGATCAAGGCAGATAAGATCAGAGAGGTAATGGGTGGGAGGAGAGGGAGGCAGATCTTGTTACTGCACCATTAAGAGATAGGTACCATTATAATCCCCATTTTACAGATGAGGAAACTGAAACATGAAGTCAAACAACCTGCCACATCTACTATAAAATCAGGAGCTGGCTATAACAAGACACAAACTATTTCATCCAGTTACATATTGAAGGTTTCTAAATGATTTAATTGCTAATTCCTTTATGATCCTTTGCAAAATATTACATGAAAAGTCACTAGTTCTATAGTGGGTGATTCATTTAAAATGGCTCTACTTTAATTTTCTTTTTCTGGAAACCAACACAACCATTTATAAGGCTTGTAATTTCATCATGGTTTCTTTAATTGCATAAAACTTCTTTTTGTCAGAAGTGCAGCAAGCATCCCTTAATGCAAGGCTTTTGTATTAAGACCAATCTAAATTTTGGTTTAGTTCTTCCTAGCCTTTTCATATTGAGCCTTCTTAGAAACAGGAGTCTATTCATAATCATAATGACATGATATGTTTTCTTTTATTCTTATATATAAAAGGCCATTCTAGATTGTAACTTAGTGGTAATGATGACATTTATGCATTACCTGTGTACATGGTACTGATGATTGGAGTGAATCAATGTAATGATAGTTGAAGATTGTCTGGCCCATGTACATGTTACCCATGCTTGGAATGAATCAATGCCTTAATAATATAGTTTAATATAGTGATGATTGGAGTGAATCAATGTAATGATAGTTGAAGATTGTCTGGCCCATGTACATGTTACGCATGCTTGGAATGAATCAATGCCTTAATAATATAGTTTAATATAGAAAAACATTTTAATAAAGTCAATATTTGACATAGTGGGAAATCTAAGAAAAAATGTGTTTGTGCCTAGTTCAGCTATCCCTTAACTCATCCATAGACTACTTTCCACTCAACTCCCAGGTTAAGTGACTAGAGAGATTTGAAAGTCACAGTGGACCATTAAGTGAAAAGATATTTATTTATACTTCGTTTTTACATATGTTAGATTGATAGTTAAAAGAGCTATTATTTATTCTAAGTTAAACTTATTATATTGGGAATTCCATTTTTACCTACTTCTTCATATTAAGTAGAATTTATCCAAATTTGTTGATTTTTATGACCTGTGAATTTTTTAGCATTGATTTTTGTAGAGGTGATCATTTCAAGAACAGCACTTTGCTAGATTCATGGTTGTTCATTTAATAATTTATCTGACAGTTAATAAAAAATTAGAAATTATACCCTTGATGTTTCTTAGTTGTCTTCTTACAGAAGCAATAAATGCATAAATCATAATTATGTGGGGTGGATGATTGTAATTATTTAGCACTAACATGCTTTTGTCAAGTGGGGGCATCATCGTTCTTTCTTAAGTAAGCAGTGTGGTAAGAATGGTTTTCTTGTTAAACTTAAATGATATTAGATGTTCTCCTTTCACCTTATTATAAAGTGTCTCTATTTTATGTCTAAGTTTTATTACCATAGCCAGCACTTTTAATTAATAGCAAGATTTAAAGTACAAAAACATATAGTAGTTTTCTTTACAGTTTTCAATTGTATCAGCCTCTGAATTTACCATCACAAAATGTAGTTGTTATTCAGTAAAAGAAAATAACATGGTTTTAAGAATAATAATGGTTTTAGTTTTGTTATCATTGTTATTTTAAGTATATGAACAATGGGAAAAGTGTATGCTTAAGATTTAAAACACCCACACAGCTAACTAACCTAACATTCAAAAGTTGCTCCCAGTGATTAGAAGACATTTTGAGCATATCCAAAATACATACTGTTGTGTGCGGTTGCTGCCAACATCTGAGTGTTGCTAATAACTCTAAAACTGTTTTGCCATCATTAAATTTATATAAGAAGGATGTTTGAATATGATTATCATTGAACTATTTATTTAAAATGCATATATGATTCACTGTATTTTTAAAAGTTACTATTAAGTAAGTTTACCACTGCGAGTAATTTGTACTACAGTTAGACTTCAAAATGCTTTATTTTTAATTTAGACCAAAAGGAAGCATATTTGCATATGATTGCATTTGGGGAAAATTTTTTAGGGTGTGAGAGTTACACAGATATTCAGTCTTAAGTATTTAAATACTTTAACATGATGTTTCCATCAGTAAAGCTCTTGGCCTATTCTTAACTTAAAAGTTAAAAATCTTGCGTATCTATATCCTTGTCAGGCAAATGCCCTGGGCTATAACTGAAGATAACTTAAGATTCATGTCTCCCTTTTGGAGGTACAGTTGTCATGAACTGACAGTTTTGAAAGACCTAAAGTGACATCAAAGGGTTCAAATGATCTAGTTAGGTCAATTAATGTTAATTTTCATCTTCCATTAAATTCTTTTAATGTTTTCCTCTTTACTTTTTTTCTAGCCAAGTCCTATACCAAGTCCTGTGTTGGGGCGAAAGCCAAATGCTAGTCAGTCATTGCTTGTATGGTGCAAAGAAGTTACGAAAAACTACCGGGGAGTAAAAATCACCAATTTTACTACATCATGGAGAAATGGTTTATCTTTTTGTGCAATATTACACCATTTTAGACCAGATTTAATGTAAGTAGAACATTTTCCATTCCCTATAAATACTTTGTAAATAACAGACATTTTTTAAAAGAACCTAAAATAATTTCTTAGCACGTCCTAAAATACCTGACTTTTTTTTATTACTCATACCTCTCTCTTTTTGAGAGAAGTGTATGCGAGAAAGAAAAGTTCTTCCTTCTCTGTACCAAAAAAAAATCTTTTTTCTTTTTTAAAAAATGATTTTTCTCCTTAATCTTATACAAAGAACTGATTTCAAATTATTATGAAAAATGTGTTAGTGTTAAAATGAGATGAGACAAATAAGCCCGTAGCTCTTTGTACAGTGAAAAGAGGGATTACCTCATGGTGAATTTGGTTGTCAAGGCTAGTCTCTGGTCCCCTGCCATAACTTCTCTTTTAGATGGAAAGCTTCAGGCAATGAAACATGTAATCACTCTATGTATGTATGTATGTATGTATGTATGTATATATGTATGTATGTATGTATGTATTTCCTTAATTTTCCACACTATTAGTTTTGTTGATTGAATTGCTGTGAAATTGCTAGTTACTCTTCAGTATTATTAAATGACAAATTTTTAGATTCAATTTGTTTTAAAAACAGCTGTTTTTATTAAATACTGTATGAACCCACTGTGCCATTTTCTCCCTCAGTGACTACAAGTCTCTGAATCCTCAAGATATTAAAGAGAACAACAAAAAGGTAAGAATTGCCAAGGAAAAAATACATACTTTCAATTTTAGCTTCTCTGCAGGTTATTATTAATTTGTGTAAAGTGAGGTTGTATGGTGGGGTCATAACTGCAGCTGACAGAAGGTAGTCTGCCTCCTGCAATTCAAATAGGGTGCATGGTTTACTGTGGTTCGTCATGGACTTTAAATATCACAAGTGTCAGGCTGGCATTAGATTATAATATGTATATTACCTTTGTTAACTGTTAAATATTTGTTAAAGCATATTGCTCTTATTCTAAAATTTAGCTTTTAAAAAGTACACTCAAAACTGTGTGCCATAACTATTATATAAGTTTAGAAAAGTATTTTGGAAGAGGATGAGAGCAGGAGCTTAATGGGTAAGCAAGAAAGAGTGCCTAAATTCTTAGGAGCAAAAAGATATAAACATTGTTTTTTGTTTTTATTTTTTGATTTTCTGGTAAATTATATATATTTTTCCACATGATTAATTAATATTCTGAGATCAGAGCTTCCCAACTGGTGTGGGGAGAATATCGATCATTTCAGCCTTTAGGGCAGCTGCATAGGGCTGAGTTGCTGGAGCCCCCTGGGCTAGTTGCCTGTTGCTGCAGGCTGACTTACCTGGTTACCCCAGTGCATAATACATGTATTATGATTTTCTATTTTAAGGAGAGAAGCACCTAATTCAGTACACAGTAGGTGGTATTCAATGTTCTTTTGCACTGAATTGAATTCTTCAACTGGAAAATTAATGAAATGTGTTGTCATAGAACAGGTGTTCTTAACCTGTGATCTGTGAATTCTGGGGGTCTTTGACTATGATTGAGGGAATTTTTTTTTTTTTTTTACAATTCTTTAACTGAAATATAGAATTTCCTTCAATTAGGAACTTAGGCAACAAGCTGGTATTAGTTATGCCTGAGACCTTGTCACCTTTAGAAATCACCGATATTTTCACATCACACTACAATTGTTATTTAGACTATTCATTTCTTCAAAATTACATTAATTTTTCATAAAAGCACATTATATTGCTACATGACTACGCCAGTTGTAAGGTTACAGCAATAGCTACACTAGTTGTATTGTTAAAGCAATTCATAACTAAAGCCAAACATTTCATTATTTTAGTTATACTAAGTTTCCATTGTATTGTCAGGGCTAGGGATCAGATCCTTCAAACACATTGTACAGACTAGGTCACCAGACGCCTCACATGCCAGGCTGGGTCATAGACCCCTCACATACAGGTCCACGCTAAGTAATTGGGAAAGATCCTGCAGCCATTGGCAGACAACACAAGCTCAGTCCTCAGCAGCAGAAGCAGCAGTGGCGGTGGCCTCTCGGGGCATCCCTGGGGCACTGGCAGCAACAGCCTCCAGCAGCAGTAGTGGCCTCCTCATGGCCCCCCAGGGGCATACCGGAGGCGGGGTGCCCCGTGGATCAGAGCCATTCATCCTTTATACTTAAGTCCATAACCAAGGACACCTGGGTGCACATGCACGATTACATTAGTCAATAGCCAAGGAACACCTAGGCACACGTGCATATTTACATCAAATGCTCGGCAAGATTCTGAACATCTGAGGGGCCCTGACCATTTTCCTTTATTTTCCCAACACACATATATAACCATTTTCTAAATTTGGTTTTTCTAATACTGTCATAGTTATATTTTTCAGTATAATTGGCTTCTTTTGTAATCCTATGTATTTTGTACACATAAAACATTATTCTGAGAAGGGGTCAATTGCCAAAAGAGTCCATGGCACAAAGTGGATAATAACCTCTGGTCTAAAGTTTTTAATAGACTTTAAATTAGGTAATTAAAATCACCAGTGATAAAAAGTCTTGGAACCTTGATAGTTCAGTTAAAAAGAATTCAAATCAAAACAGTTTTTTTCTTCTATTGCTCTCTAAAATCAAAACTTTGTATCAAAAAATTTTTGTTTCTCTGAAAGGGCATGATGCTGGCCCTGGAGTAATACATATAAATCTGCAAAGCTATTAATTGAAATATGCCACCAAAAAGGGTAATCTTTAAAAATCATTATAATTTTCTTTATAAAAATCACCTTTCTGGTGGGCATGCTACAAAGTCGTTCTCATGAATTATTTCTTGTATTGTCTTGGAAAATCCATGTCTATTAAAGTGAAATGCCTTTTTCAGTAATTAAATTATATGTTTAAATATGACAGTTCTTTACTTGTATTTGAATAAAATGCTAAGCTAATTTAAATATACGTATAAGCACTGTAAAATAAACCAGTATTGCTTTTATAAAGTCGAGCTTTCATCTGTCAAAACTTTGAAAAGGAAACATTGTTGATTTTACCTAGCTAGATATTTTTAAAGAATACTCTTCTGGGGAATCTCATTAAGACTTAAGTCACACTTCTTTACATTATTTTTTCAGGAATTTAACGATGGTGAGCATACCTTGGATTTACTTATTACTACATACAGAAGAATATACCATTAAAGTTTTTTCTCAATTAGATTTTCCAGGGCAGATAATCATAGCTTTTGGAAAGGCTTTTAACTTTGATGATTCTATTCACTGCACTATTCAATAAAAAATTGTTGTTACATAGTCTTCCCTTTTTATTGTTTGCATCTTCTTGCCTGATATCTACATTGAGTATCTCAGTTGCTACCTGCAGATTATTTCAGGCTTCACACAGTTCTTCTTGATAACCCCATGTGCCATTGATTGGATTTAAAGTAGCATAAGAAACAATGCCTGTGTCTTAAGTTCCATGAAGATGCAGAACATAACATGACTCCTCCTTACCGATTAAATAACATTTAGGAATGAATAAGACAATTTTCCTTGGAAGACCTCTTTTTTCTTCACACACAAAGAGCTAAAAACACAGTAGGTAACTGACCATAGCAGAAGATGTTTACCTATGGGAAAATTCTTTTATAAACTCTTGACCTAGCTTACAAGAAACCTGGTTTGTTTTTAAATGTTTTTTGGTGCAATTAGTGTGCACTAAATGAATTGCTACATGAAGCAAAACACCAGCAAGAGTTTCCCCACTAGGAAGCTAATCATTTTCCTAGGTCTGTAAAAAGTGCTGAATAAAAAAGGTATTTACCTGTGACATCTGATCTTAACCAATATGTCAGTGTTTTAGATAATTTGGGAAATGTTTAGAATACTGCCTGTGGTGCTTTTCCTCATGGTCTGCAATTGATGTTTGTCAATCAAGCTGTCAAGACACAAGGAGGAAAATGACTTTAATTTTCCTAAAACGTATAAAATAAACAAGCCTATACATGCGCACCAACTGAGCCATTCTCTCTAGTAAATATTTTGAGGCACCTATATTATGAAGCATAGTGCTGTGAAAATTGAAAGGTTTTAATATCACAATTTATTTTTCATTTTCTTTCTTATTTATTCCACAACATTTATTAAACTACAGGAAAAATACAAGGTGAGGATTAAATTCAAATGTAGAAATGTACTTTAACACGTAAATGCAAAAGACTGATTCCTTCTGAATTGTTATATAATTTCCTAACATTTCTCTTAAGAAAAACTTTAAATTATGATCCTAAATCTAGGTTGTTACAAAGAATAGACATTTTACATCCCAAAGCAAGACTATATCTAGAGGGTCTTTAGTTTCTCTGAGAATATATCTAAACCTTTAGCCATACTTTTAATGCTTCGAAGCAACACAATGCTGTTTTCAAGGGTTAGTCCAGGATAGTAATAATTAATTGTAAATTGAGAAACAGCTTTGATTCTTCAAAACTAGAAAAACCTGATGTGCCACAGTCATTTAAAGGCTAACAAAAATAACACAATGCAGCCTTACATTCTCAACTAGGCTGTAGCACTCAAAACATTTTATTCTCTCTGAAATGGATGAAGTGAAAACGAAGTCACTTTTCTCTTTATGAAAGTCAGTCTTAATGGGCATTTAAAAAATGTTTCTGTTTCCAGGCTTACATAGCATTTATTTGTATTTTATGTGAGGTAATGTAATAGTTCTTTTGACTTATCTAGCTGAACTTTTTCTTCACAAATCATTGCAATTACATGACCATGGAAAGGAGAGGTTGACAGGAATGATAAAGTTTGAGATGGGTTAGTCTAATATTTCTTTATATCTTAGTTCCTTATCTTAAAAATCCATTCTCAGATTTTTTGATTGTTTGTTTTAACTCTCACTTTTGTGTGTTTTCTTTATTGGAAAAGAATACTTCAGTTGTTAACTTAGTAAACTTTTTTTCTCTTGCCTCTACCACGCTTTTACACATTTCTGACTTTTGGAACTTTGTTCTTTTCATTTGGCATAGTGTCAGTAACGTTATGTACCCTCCAACAACAACAACAAACCCATTAAAATTTTGCTGTTTTTAAAATGTATAGATTGTCTAAACTATTCAATGTATCTGTTGTTTTTCCTTCCTTTGAAGGCATACGATGGATTCGCCAGCATAGGAATTTCCCGATTATTGGAACCTTCTGATATGGTTTTATTAGCGATTCCTGACAAACTGACTGTTATGACTTATCTCTATCAAATAAGGGCACATTTCAGTGGCCAAGAACTAAATGTCGTTCAGATAGAGGAAAACAGCAGTAAAAGCACATATAAAGTTGGGAACTATGAAACTGATACAAACAGTTCTGTTGATCAAGAAAAATTCTATGCAGAGCTTAGTGATCTCAAGCGGGAGCCTGAACTACAAGAGCCTACCAGTGGAGCAGTAGACTTCGTATCACAGGATGACTCTGTATTTGTAAATGATAGTGGGGTTGGAGAGTCAGAAAGTGAGCATCAGACGCCTGATGATCACCTTAGTCCAAGTACAGCCTCCCCTTACTGTCGCAGGACTAAAAGTGACACAGAACCCCAAAAGTCCCAGCAGAGCTCTGGAAGGACATCAGGATCCGATGACCCTGGATTATGTTCCAGTACAGATTCAACACAAGCACAGATTTTGTTAGGGAAGAAGAGACTTTTGAAAGCTGAAGCTTTAGAATTAAGTGACTTATATGTTAGTGACAAAAAGAAGGATGTGTCTCCACCCTTTATTTGTGAGGAGTTAGATGAGCAAAAGCTTCAGACTTTAGATATCAGGAGTAACTTGGAGCAAGAAAAATTGGAGAATTCCAGACCCTTAGAATGCAGATCAGATCCTGAATCACCTGTCAAAAAAACAGGTTCATCTCCTACTTCTAAACTTGGATATTCGTACAATAGAGATGCAGACCTTGCAAAGAAAAAACGTACTTCCCTGAGGCAGACAGAGTCCGATCCAGATGCTGATAGAACCACTTTAAATCATGCAGGTCATTCCTCAAAAACAGTACAGGTAAGTGAGTTAGAATGATGAGTATATATATTTAATAAATAGTTATTCTTTATTTTTGTTTCTTTTTATGTTCATAAGATGTTACAAATGATTAATGGTGAGGTATGATTTCCATTGTAGAAAAACCTGAAATATACCTGCTCTATACTTAAAGTTTATGATATAATATTTTAAGCCTACAATAAATCCCAACTTAAAGATTGAAGGATAAAGAATGTCAACTTTTCAAATCAAAATATTATTACTTACCTTATAAGAACAGAATTTTTTACTATAAGAATAAATCAAAGATATTTCAGTATTCCATTTAATAAAATCATTCCGCCCCTTAAAACATTTTTCTTAAATATTTTAGTTGCATTATAGCTAGAATTTTAGTCTGATCATTACTTGTTTAAAATCCCAGTAGCATTCAAAGCTCTCCCTGCAAGGGGGATATGGTGCAGTTTTGATTCCTCCCTTACTCATGACATTTACTTGAATCTCATCAATTATAAAACATATTATTATTTTATATACAACAAATAAAGAACAGCATTGTTGATAAAACTATGACACATGGTTTTCTTATCACTTAGAATTTTTAGTTTATATCTATTGAAACCTCTTTTAGACTTATTTAGGCATAGATTTTTTTTTTTTTATTATATGACACTCGTGTATACATAATAAGGACATTTTAAGCAAAATAAGTTGATTAAAGTATTCTTAAAAGTTTTTCACATTTAGAATCGAACTCTTTTGAATCACTTTTTGATTTAGAGTCATTGGTGTTCCTGTTTCTACACACAGTGTGTCATCAAAAGTATGATGTTATAGCAGTGGTTTTCAAAGTATAATCTGGGGACCTCTGAAGCTCTTCCAAGAGTCATTTAGAGAGCTCCCAAAGTTAAAACTATTTTCGTAGTAATACTAGGACATTATTTACCTTTATCACTCTCATTCTTTCACTAGTGTACAGTGGTGTTTTCTGGAGGCTACAGGATTTGTGATATATGGAAAGACTGAATACAAAAGTAGATACAAGAATACAGCTGCCTTCTTATATTAAAGAGATTTACAAAAAAAAAATGTAAAATCATGCCATTCTTCTCAGTTTTTGTTGATTTTTTGTTTTTGTTTTCTTTTTTGTTTTTGTTTGGCAGCTGGCCGATACAGGTTCTGAACCCTTGGCCTTGAATTTTTGTTTGTTTTTAAAGTAGTTATTTTTTATTAAAATATGTTTACATCTGATGGGTTTCTTATGGCTATTTCTAAACAAAAAATAAATAAATATTTAAAAATTTTTTCAGTTTTAGTTTCCTAAATAACAAGTATCAATAGCTGCATACACAAAAGTTCTTGGAGTAAGCATGTAAAGGGATTCTGAGACCAAAAAGTTTGAGAATCTCTGAATTACAGCATTTTTCCATGACTGTCTCTGGGATTTTCTTCCAAGTCAGTAACACTCATTGATATAGCATTTTCTTGACTTTACCGTGAGGTCCCAACAGAAGATTTTTAGATAATAACCTGGAGGAGTTATATTTCTTTCTTAAGTAGTACTCAAGTATTTGTTGACTGAAGCATCAGGGAATTGCAGTCATGCCACCAGAAATACCCAAGAATATATAGACAGACAACTGTGTCTTGACTGTCAACTGTGTATTACAGAGATTGTAAGATGCCTTCATTTATAAGTTTTCAGAGGTGTTAAGAAAGAATGTGCCCCTTATAATCAAAGAAATGTAGTAGCTATCAAAGCAAGCTCCTGTTCTCCAAATCAAAAATCTCAAATCAAAGGTACTAAGTAGGAAAGATCTCTGAAAGCTCTCAGGACAGCATAGTGTCTAGACATAATAAATAATCAGTAAGCATCTAGTGACTGACAGTAGCAGAATTTGTTGGGCCTAAGTTGTAATATCAAATACAGTTTTTCTTATAAAACAGATTTCTAAGGCATATGTGTTTTGTTAAAGCAAGAAATTGATTAATATTCAAAAATTTAAAATGCTCTGGACTGGGAATTAGTAAACCTTGACTCAAATTTAGGCTCTGCCAATAATTAGCAGTGTGACATTTTATTTTATTTTATTTTATTTATTTATTTTTTTTGTCTTTTTTCCGTGTCCGGCAACGGATCGCAACCCTCAGTGTTGCCCCCGTACCGGACCGGGGACCGGCGACGGGATCGCAAGCCTCGTCTAAAGCATTGTCCTTTGATGCTATATGACAGCATAGGGATTGCAACCCTCGGTGTTGCTCCCGCGCCTCGCTCAGCCAGTGAGCGGGAGCCGGTCTGTACGTGGGATCCGAACCCTCGGACGGGAGCGCCGCCGCGCTTCCCAAGTGGCGCACTATCCAGTGCGCCACCAGGCCGGCCCAGCAGTGTGACATTTTAACTAGCTGTTTACATTCTCTCTCTCTTATTTTCCACATGTTTTAAATGAAATAATCTCGAACAGCCCTTTTAGCTCTAAAACTCTAATGTGCTGTGATTCTATTCAGATGATTACAGTGCTGTACTTAATGATAGAAGCAACATCTATTTATAGCTCCATATGTTTGTTCATTGACCATTGGTTTATTGGTCAGAATTTTGCTTAGGGTAAATTAAAAGTATTTTTGGTACTAGATTAGTAAAAGTAATGTCTGACACCAGACATTGTATATATGGATGTATATGGATGCTGACATCTGGTAGTTTTTGTTTTGTTTTTTAATTGTAGCAGCTAAATTTTAGGAAACTAAAAAGTTGTTTCTCTTTAGTGCACTGTGTTTTATCAGTTCTCAGGTATACAGTTTTTTACATTTTAACTTCTCTGAAATCGAGGTATTACTTGTATAGATAGTATGTCAGAGTTTAATTAGCATTGTTCTTTCTTACTAGTTAATAAAATAATGGTGAATCTTATAATTAATATCATTAGATTAGAGGAAATTTGGTAACTTAATATGTCTTTTTTTTTTTTTTTTTTTTTTGTCTTTTGTCTTTTTCCG